TAATACTTTGATTTGGTATGCACTTAACGTGGGGAGCTAATGCCAGTCTCCTGGAACTGAATGAGGGAAAAGATATGACATTCTTTGCACTATTGGTTCTGTGCCAGGCATCTGGCTGGATGCTTTATGTTATCTCATGTAATCCACAGAGATTGTGTCTAATTCAGAGTGGGGACCTGTGACCACAGGAGTGTAAAGTTCCCCTCTGCTTTTAGGAGTGAAATGAATGGGATTCAAAGAATACCTTCTCTTGGCAATGATCTTCTCTTATAATCAGCCCCTGACACATAGGTTAAGGTTACCAAAATGATAACTTGCATCAACTGATTATTTCTAGAATGACCAGTATCTCTTTCAGTATACCACATAAGAAGTCACAAAGAGAATATTTAGCTAAGGTTTTTAATGGAAAGCTATCATTATCTTGTTTTTTGTAGCCAGTAGGCGTAAGCCAGGAATCAGGTTGGAAGTGGGAGCCCTTTTGGCGGTGCTGAAAACTTTGATCAAGATTCTGCCAAGCAGTTCTTTCAGGACAAGGACTCTGCTCCACCGATTTCAGTTAATCACAGCAGGGGACAAGGCCTCAGAAGAAGGGGCTCTCCATCCTGTGATCTCCCGTTAATGACTGCAGGAATTAAAAAAAGAATTTTGTGGGTAACAGAAGTGAGGGCGGGGTGTCAATATACATGGTTTTTAAGTTATTGAGATTTTGTTGGAATTTAGTTATTTTTCTTGTTTGTGAGGAGGAGAGGCTTTAGGGGGAGGTAAGATGGGGTAGATGATGCAACAGACCATGCTGCAGGTGCATTGCCTTCTGCAGGGTAGATTGTGTCTATACCTTGGGCTGTGCCATACTTTGGATAATGATAATAATTTAATAACAACAGACTGCATATATAGGGGAGTTTAAATTTAATAAATCAGTTTTGAGGTAAGGATTTAAGAAGACACATATCAAGCTAGAATTATTAGTCAAGTTATTATCTTCTGGCCAGGGAAGCTGATTAGTCTGAGCATCTCAGCTGAGGGGAAGGGGCTAAAGAGGAGAGGGGGAGAAGGGCCTCTGGCCCTTGGTCACCTGGAAGCTGAAGGACTCAGGGGGTCCAGCTCCAGCCTTGGTCCTCACACTACTGGGCAGTGAGCAGAGCCAGCATCTCAGCCTGCTGAGACATGGACAGCAGGCCTGGAATACATGTACCTCTGGAGTAGGCAGCACTATGCTCCTGGTCTCCTGGAACTGACATTACTTACTCAGAAATGGAATGTCTGAGATCATTAGGTCAACTCCCTCACAGATGAGGAAACTGATGTACAGAGAAGTCAAGTGACATCTCAAGTGAATACCAGAGCTGGGACCAAAGCTCGTGGCTCTTGATTCCTGGCCCAGTGACTTTAATGCCCTTGACTAATGGGCAGCTCTGCAGATGGAAAGGCATTGAAGGCTGGCAGGGAAGAATGGGAGAGCCAGGCAGATGGAAGAGAGTGGAGGGGGCAGCTGGTAGGAAATGGGAAGGCTGTAAAGAGCCAAAATATCCATTCCTCTTGGCCATGTCCCAAGGACAAACATAACTCCCAAGTGTTCCTAATAAGGGCATAAACAGTCACCCAAAAGAACCACACAAATGGATTGACCAAAGGCCATGAAATGTTGTTTATGCTTAATGAGTACGCACTCCTATTTATTCAGACTCCTAATCCAGCTCTTTAACCTCATTCTTTCCTTTTAAGTCATTGGAGGCCTTCCTTGCCATTACTCCCTTCTCATTTGTTGTGTGGCTATCGTTGTACCCAGGGACAACTGCAGTTTAGAATCTGTCTGCCCATTTCTCTCACGTTCTGGGGCAAAGGGAAATGAAGAGGAAGATGATGAACTTGGGCAATGTGACTTGCCTGAAGCATTTGATATTCTGAAAAGGGGCTATAGGAAAGAACAATGAGCCAATTCACAAGTCAACATTATGTTTATCACTCTATTATGAGGGATACTGCCTCTACTTCTTTTGTGAGGCATAATTATTTATTAGTTTTAGCAAGACATTTCTCTGCCTGCTGATAATGAAACAAAAAAAGCATTTACTGTGCTACTCTAGAATGTGAACTGTAAGCTGTGGTCTTTTTTTTTGTTTGTTTATTTGCTTTCAGTTTTAATCTATGATCACAGGCTTAGAGGTTGAAGGGGACCATGGAGGACTGCCAGCCTCCCCACCCTCTTTCATGCGGGGAGCCTCTTCCCGACAGCCGTGCCAGTGGTTCAGATCCCTTCCCTCTGAATCCCCACAGAGAGTCGTTTCTACCTCTGTGGAAGCACTTGCTTCATTTTGCCTTAAATTACAGTTATTTGAGGACTTGTCTTAAGCCTCAGCTGTGAGCCCCTGTGGGCAGGGGGTGGATGGGCAGGAATCCTATCTTATTCCTCTTTGATCTCCTACAGCCCCCAACACAGAGCCTGGCCCGCTCTCCATAAATATTTGAATGAGTGACAAGGTGTTAAGAGTCTACAGAGGCAGCCACAGTTGGACACCTCTAATAGCTAGAAAGTTCTTCCCAAAAGTAAGCAGAAATATGCCTCCCTGTGTGCCTTGGGAGGGAGAAGAATGTAATAGGCAGTGATGACAAAGGGCTGGGTGTCTATAGGATATATCTGGGGACAGGGTAATGACTTGCTCTTACTGCTTTTCTTGCATTCCATCTGGCCAGAGTACACAAGGCCTTTCTCCAAGACAGGAAAACCCAACAACCTAGATAGATCTGGGTAAGGGGGCAGGGGCATGGATTCCAGGATTTGAATCCAGTTTGGGAGGACAGCTCTATCAGACCCTGTCAGTGTCCCAGCCATATGGCCTCAGTCTGCCCTGGGGGTCATCGGCAGGTGATTCTCGTACAGACTGACCACTTCCTGCATTTATCTGCGGTGATCACTCTTTGACCTCAGAAGTGTGCTTGGTCTGTTTGTGGGTTCGGATAGGAATGCCAGGAACTTACCCCAGGAAGGACCTTCAACCAAAGATCAATGGGACTTAGTGCATCAGTAACCCCGATTCCTCACCCCTCAGTGGGACAGCTCAGAGGTATGTTTTATGGTTTCTCAAAAGGTCTCAACAGGGATTGAACCCCAGTTGCTCATATAACTTAACATATCCTTTATTCATTTCCCTCCCTTTCCTTGTTGACTTCCCCTCCCTTTCACTATGCTTCCTGGGACCATGCCCAAGTAAACTCTGTCTCCCAAATAATTGTCTCAAGGTCTGCTTTGGGGAGAACCCAAAGTAAGACAATGACATGAGCAGGAGATTTGAGGGACTTCCCATACTATTCTTCCCATAGAAGATAAAACTGTCTGGCTCTTGAGTTTTTAAAAAAGAAGATAAAACTGTCAAAATCAGTGTGTGCTTTCCCTTCCTCCTTCTTCCTTTCTATTTTTAAGTGCAGAGTGGTTTTTCTGTCAGTTCTATAAATAGAGTTTAATTTTCAGTAGAATTTGTGTCCTAACTCAGAAAACAAGGCTGCAAATGGTTCCTACAACTTTGAGGGATAGTTATTTCCCATAACAAGAATCAGTAATATCCTAGTTCTCTTAGGGAAATGCACTATGTCAGAAAGGTCTCAGGACAGACTAATAAAAGAGATGACACATAGGGGTCATTAGACATCAGGGTGGATTTGTGTAGAAGTTCTTCACTTAACTTTTTAAACTTCCACAGAGACATTTTAAATTAAGAGAGACCCTACCAACCTGGCCCAGGTTTGGGACGGAGTGCTTAGAAGTCAGGGACAGCTAAGACGAATGGGGACCATGAGAGAGGAAAATAAAGAACCTTCATTAAACCTACTCAGTATTAATGAACTACACCTGAGTTGATAGAACCTAGAGAAAATGCTGTTACTGCAGAATATGTATAATCATTTGAGAAGATTTGTAACAAAGAATGAAGGCGTGTGAATAATCTGCCTCCCTGGTCCTCCTTTATGCAGACATATTGTGTGATTTGGAAAAGCTCCCTGTGGATGCCACAACCTTACCCGATTGTTTTGACACCTCAGATAACTAATAGGAGATAGCAGTTAAAAACAGCCATAATCACTACTGTCTTAGGTTTGTGAGGTTTTTCTTTTGTCTTGTTCCTTCCTGGAGCATTTTTCAGTGACCTAATAGGAAACAGCATACATGTTCATGAATTTTTAATTAGCAAGCAAAGATGAGAATGAATGTAAACAAAACACAAGATGACAGGAGACAATGGGCCAAGAGAGCCCCTCCTTGATGCCTTTTGGGGTACCCACAGATGCCTTTTGGGGTCAGGTGGGGAAATCTTCCTAAATCAAGCAGGGTTAAGAAAGGGCTTCACAGACCTTATTATTAGCATGGAAAAGTGTGTGGCTTCAAATGCTGTCTTTCTTTAAACCCTGTTTGATGACCAGTGCCTCAGCTCTTTTGGCAGGGCTGAAGGAGGTAGGAGGAAGGTGGGGACATTTTGCTAGGTGATAGGAAGTTGTGGAATTACCGTGTCTCCTTTGCCCTCTTTGATGAGTACTTCTGCCCTGTTTGTTGTGTGTAGATGGCAATAGTGTCCTGGGTACAGCTCTCCCCTGGACAAGAGAGATGTCTCTGCCTCCTTTAGCTTGTGCCCTCGTCTGAGCCACCACTCCAAAGAGCGCTCTTGAGAGTTATGTGCCATCCCTGGGAATGACCTCATAAGATGGTTGTGAGGACTACATAAAGCAGTCCATGTAAAGTGACAAGTGACTGCATTAAAGTGCACTAATAGTTGGCACAAAATCTATGCTGGTTCCCCACAATGAGAGGTCCCTGCTATCTACTGAAATTGAATTGCAGAAAAAGATTTCCCTTGGGCCAAAAACAAATACACTAGTATGGCCTGTACCAGCCTCTCTCAGACTTTTGTTTTGGGCAGCTCCCTACCCCAAAAGTGTGCCCCACAAGAGTGCCCAGTGGATGTCTTTTGAGCCTGCCCCACTGAGCACTCCCCTTTGCTTTCTAGAACGCCTACGTCAACATCAACCGCATCATGTCCGTGGCTTCCCGCCTCTCCGAGGCCGGCCACTATGCCTCACAGCAAATCAAGCAGATCTCTACCCAGCTGGACCAGGAGTGGAAGAGCTTCGCCGCTGCCCTGGATGAACGCAGCACCATCCTCGCCATGTCTGCTGTGTTCCACCAGAAGGCTGAACAGGTAAGGTCCAGAATCCTGCAGCAGCTGCTGTTGGTGGGAAGGGTTGGGGATGGATAGGGAAAGGCTGGAGCGGAGCACACACATTCTCTATAGAGTGCTCCACCTGTCTTTTTGAAACACTGAAGACCCTGCGGAGTCATTGCAACATTAACCTATGTTCGACCACATTCATGCCCCCTGTGTGCACAAAGAAACATTGGTAACTCTTGGTGACTTTGCTTGTCATACAAACAAGAGGGTACCCAGAGCCTTTTTACATTTTGCTTGGTAGTGGTTGTGTATGCACGTGTGCATGTGTGGGCTGTCCGCGTAGTGTGCATTCTCAGAACACAGATCAAAGGGGTGAATGTAAAGTGATCATTGAGGTGCTGAGAGCAGGGGGAAACTAATTGTACATGAAGCATATGCTATGGATAATGGTAATATAATAATAATATAATGGGTCAAGATAATAATTACTCTACTTACTAAGTGGCCAGGCATTGGCCAGTTACATGATAACCCATTTTACAAAGAGGAATACTGAAGCTCAGAGACATTAATTGATTGGCCTGCCTAAGATTCCACGATGTGTTGGAGCCTGTATTGAACCAGCTCATAGAGAGACAGTTGTTAAATTTTCAGGAATTTTGTGAGCTGGTTATCACATTCTAGCTATTGCTTAATTATGTAGGTTTATAATTAAATATGTTATGTTAAAAGCAAAGTTAATAAATGCTCAAAACTCATCACTTGCTGATTATTTTACAACCTGTTGTTATTACCTATGTTCTTGAAATCATTTTTATGCATTTATGTTTTTCTGTGGCGGAAATACCATACAATTGTGTGCTATGTATGGATTACTCTTCCCAACTCCATGTTGGTGATGTCACACTGGTAGCTTAAAATACACCATGGTAGGAGTTTCATATTATAGAAATTATCAGATGCTATAAACCAGGGATTAATTCATTGCTTTATTGTTGCCTAGAGTCTAAAGAAAATGAGGGAGAAAGTGTTTGAAAATGCAGACTAAACTTAAAAATGTGTCCTGTGTATACCTGTTACATTGTGAATAACACACAAAAATCAAGGAAATATTCTTCCAATATTCAAAAACTGTTACTTGGTTCAGCAAAGAAGTCACTGACATCCTTGATGAACAAGTGATGTTCTGGCGTAGTATTCAGGTGTTTTTCACCTTTGTCTCACTCCTTAGCATAATGAAAATATCAACTAGCATGTGTGTCAAAACTACAAATGTTTGTCAGTTGCAACCATAGGTCAAAAGCATCCTGTGAGAATCAACTGGCTACATTAAATATACAATACAGAGCATTGTATATGTTGTTCTCTGTAAATGATGTGTTATACATTCTTTATATCAGTAGAATTTGTAAATGCACTTACCTGTATATATGTAATATATAGTCATATACACACGTACATATATATGCTGGTTGTTAAACATTTACTAACACACCACTGCTAAAATCGCACAATCTATGAGTAGATAGGCTATCAACTCAGGTGTGTTTAACACTAGGCCTGTGGTCTTAACCTCTACATTTCTTTCTTTGCATTACATTTGGGTAACATAGGCCAAGGAGAGTCAGACACCTGGTCACACCTTAAATCTCTCCCTCTGTTACCCTCTCTAGCGTGGAAGGCAACATAGCATAATTAAGAGTCTAGACTTTGAGGCAAGACACATGGATTCTGATCCCAGCTCCACCATTCATTTACCCTTAGACAAGTCATATCACCATTCTGAGCTTGTTTCCTCTTCCATAATGTGGAGCTAATCATAAATAGCACAGGGCTATTTATGTGCTAAAGGGCTGTGCTAAAGATACAACATGAGAGATGGAATGTGTAAGGTGTCTCGTGTGCTTACTAAACAGTGGACGTTACTACTATGGGTATTTGCACCACGTACTATCCTGGTATCTTTTTATTTCCTCCACCTGAGAACTTCCCAAAGACTGAAATAATACTTGTGTCAAGCCCAGCCCTTTACTTTGAGAGGGATGTGGCCATATCTTTTTGTCGCTGTTGTTAAGGTTGTTGGTGGTAGTGACTGATAGTGACTGGTTCATTCTTAGGGCCATGAGAATATTGATGTCCAATTTCCTGTTCTCTCTTCAACCGTATCACTTTCATACTTTATTCAAGGTTTGCCCAGATTGGTAAGGAAGACCCCCTGCTTCTCTCTTTGTCTCTCTGGCATTATATCCTTGAGGTGATCATTTTGTGGGATATGCTACAGGCCACCTGTTAGAATATTGCAGAGAAATCCCAAGAGCCTTGAAGCAGTACTCCCCCCATGATTGACACAAGAATGTCAAGTGGCTCCTAGGGTCATTTGTAAAGTAGTTATTGGTGGAGCAAAGAAACTTCTGAGATTTCAGCATGTACATATTATATGATGTGATACTGGATGGCACCTGGCACTCTTCCAATATTGCTAAGAAATGGTCTAATGTGTTACAAAATGTACAGAATGAAAAGTCAACCACAACAATCAAAAGGCCGGGGACTGAAAGCTGACAGTGACAACAAAACTAGGATGCAAATGGTTGCAGTGCCAGAACTGAGAAAACTGGAGAAGTGCACATTTATTTCATGTTTCCTGATTTGGACTGGTTTGGATCAGAAGCAATTTTATTTGTATCTATTTTTTAATGCAATTTCTGTAGGTATTACTAGTCCTTCAGGGACACTCATAAACCATGCTTCTTTTTAACTGGGGAAAAAAACATGACTCAAGGCTATTTTTTTCCATGCATTTATTTAGGCAGCTCTTTATTGTCCTCACATGGGCTGTTCTTGGCAATGGGATTAAAAGGTATTTAGGCAATTAATTTAAATGGAGCTATGCATCCAGGCGAGAGGAATCACAGACAGAACAATTCCAGACTGTTGGGTGAATTATTTGCATTTTCAAGGTGCATTTTTCCACCCAATAAATCGGAGTGATTTCAGTTAGCTTACCCTTTGTGCATGAAGACCCATAGTCTTCCACAGCTGTTAATTTTAATTTTAAAATAATTTGATGTCTGTCAAAGATCTATGTCTATATATCACCACCCGGGATGCAGTAGGTATAGCACAGCCTGTCCCCCTAGACTGCCTCTCTCGTTTCCACCCTTCAGGGGACTGACCCAACAGTGGGTCAGTGGGAGACCTGTTGAGGGCAGTCTGCATCCCATATGGGATGGTCTGTGCAAGTTCCCTGGGTTCCTGGTGGTCTGTGTGAGGTGTTTTTTGCTTGTCTTCACAACTGGATGTACACACTATAAAGCACAGATGTGGAACATCTCCTTATGTTACACACAGCCCCTCACATATGCCTGTGAGTGTGCATGGGGCAAGAAGCTCTAATGTATCCGTGGAATGTGGTGAGCTGTTTCCATACCTGGACGTTACAGTTAGTGTGTAGCTATAACCTGTTGAACATCTGGTGATTCACCTGCCCCCTACAGTTTCATAATAGTCAATTTTGTGGAGACTATACTTCCTAAATGGGTACCTGGGTCTGATTTCTTACCAGGAGTTAGTATTTGTAGAATTAAAAAACTCTACCCTCTACAGTGGTCTCTGAAGGCTTTCAGAAGTCCTGATGTTTTTTCCCAAGGTATCTGACGCTCTCTCCATAATCCACCCAACTCCCTACCCCCAATGCTCCCCCACTGACCCACCCCACGTCTCCTTCCAGTTCCTGTCGGGAGTGGACGCCTGGTGCAAGATGTGCAGTGAAGGTGGTCTGCCGTCCGAGATGCAGGACCTAGAGCTGGCAATCCACCACCACCAGACCTTGTATGAGCAGGTGACCCAAGCCTACACAGAGGTGAGAATGGAACAGGGCAACCATGGGTCTTGAGCATTTCTGCATGTGGGTGGGTGACTAGGGCACTGGCCTGTGCACTGTGAAATAGCCTGGGTGGGACTAAGAAGAAGAGAGGCTGTTTTTCTTTTTTTGGTGACATCTTTAGGAACCTTGATCTATGAACTATGATGTCTCCAACCAGGAAGGAGAACAAATTGGGGCCATTATTAGGCATCACTTTGGTGCACTCACATTCATTCTCTCTCTCTCTGTCACACATACACACACACACACACACACACACACACACACACACACACACACACACCCTATACACTTGCCTTATCCTGTGTGTGAAGATTGGACTTTCTCCTCTTGGGGGAGGAATATAAGAAAATGAAGCTGTGCTTTTCTGGAGTTTGCTTTCTGGTTGGTGAATGGACATGTACGCACTAGCCCTGCCACCTTTTTTATGAAGCAGCTCATCAAAAAAAATATTAATTTTCTCACCAGAAGATCCAGAGGAAAACACACAGCGTGGAGATAGTGTTTGCAGGAGTAAAAAGCTTCCATGAATGTGAAGGACAAAGACTCTTCCATTGAAAAGTCAAAGGCAGGGGGTTGCTGTAAAGCTAAGAAAGGGAAAAAAAACCTCTTGACAGTCCTCTCAAAGTAAAAGGAAACAGCTACATAGGTACCTCTGTGTAGATATACACAAGTTAGTATGTTTGCTAACTGGCATGAATTCTGAGGAAGGGAACTGAGGGATGGAGAGGGATGGGCTGATTAAGGAAGCTGGATGAGGAGAAGTGAATTCACATACAGCCCATGTGTTTCCTCTGGGCAGGATTAGTTAGAGGAGTATTAAAATGGGTTCCTGGACCACCTGCATCAGACTCACCTGATACAGATTCCTGGGTCCCACCCAAGACTGAATCAGAATGTCAAGAAGTGAGACCTGGAACCTACATTTTAATAACTATTACCCTATTTGAATTTGATGCACATTGAAGTCTAAGAACCAATGGCTTCTGGGTAAGAATAAGGGTTTTTGCCACAGTCAAACTGAATTTGAATCCTGACTCTCCGATTTACTAGCTGTGTGACCTCAGACAAGTTACTTAACCACTCTGAGCTTCGTTTCATCTGTGAAATGAAAGTGGTAACACCTGCCTCATAGGATAGTGTCGAGGTTATAAAGGTAATGCATGACAATTCACAATTGCAAAATTGTGGAACCAGCCTAAATGTCTATCAGCCAACGAATGGATAAAGAAAATGTGGTATATATACACCATAGAATACTACTCAGCCATAAAAAGGAACAAAATAATGGCATTCACAGCAATCTGGATGGAGTTGGAGACCATTATTCTAAGTGAAGTAACTCAGGAATGGAAAACCAAGTATCGCATATTCTCACCTTTAAGTGGGAGCTAACCAAACACCACCTGTTCCCCAAAACTATTTAAATAAATAAATCATAGTACCCAACAAAGAATTAAAAAAATAAAATGAAGGTAATGTATATAATGCACTTGGCCCAGTGTCTGGTAGTAATGAGCACTAAAAAATGGTAATGTATTCTGTCATTGTAGAAGGCACAATGAAGGACTTATGAGCCAAATCTGATCTCATCAGCTCTGATCCATATGGCCCAAAGCTTTCTGTCTTATAACAGAACTGTGCCTCTGCCCATGGGTCAAGAATCTTTAAATTTACTCCTTGCAAAATACAAATATAGAGAGTACAAATGAGATTAATATTATACTTCCACATGTGTGAGGTGCGGGTATAATTATACATATAGACACAATATTTCTCTCAATTAATTATCAGGCCCTAGCATTGTGAGGCTTAAACCTTCCCTTCAACCCCACTTCAGAGGCCAGTGAGCTGTCCCTGCTTCCTACAGATGTAGAGACTGAGGCAGAGAATTGGAGCTCATGCAGGGTGGATTTCTAGGACTTGGGCCTCCATCTCTAACCACCCTGCCCTGGACATAGCATGGTGCCAAAAGACAGCATTTGCTCAGAATTCCAGGAAGAGAGCGCTCCTGGGTTTGGCTATAGGATATTTGTCTTACTCATGTCTCTGGTGGGCATCACCTCTGCATTGTTTATAAACTACTTCCCCCACCCCACTCTCCTGGCAGTCTATGGGAGATGGGGATGGTGGGATTGGGTGGGTGGTGGTGGTTTCCTCTCCTGGCCTCTGCTGCACTCTACTCCAGCACCCCTCCTAACTACCCTGCCCTGAAGGCCCTTCTGTGGCCCCATGGGCAGGAGGAGTAACAGCTGCTTCTGTATTCCTGGACCCCCAGCCAAGCTATTATCAGGGACCAAAGGAAGGGTGAGGGGAGTATGCAAACCCGGCAAACAGCTTCATCATCAGAGGTGTGGAGATGGAAACACACCTCATTCCCTACCTTGCTGATGAGATAAAAGACCATTTTCATCTCCAAAAGCCTTCTTTTGGGGAAGACTCCAAGCCAACTTTGATTTAGTTGGTAACCAAGTTTGGGGACTCAACATTTCTATCAATTCCCAGTCACCCCTGTTTTAAATTGGAAAGATGCATGTTCTGTTGGGTACTTTGCCAAGTACAGGAGGGCCACAGGTGTTGATTGTATGATGTCACTTTCCAGAATTATTGTTGCCCGCGATTGTGCCAGAACTCCAATGAGAAGAATGGCAGAGAGTGTCATCCCACTTTTCTCAGACTGAGGGCGAGTGTTGGGATGTGGATGGTGTGTCCACAGTCTAAGTGTCCCAGCCTTTCTCTGCATGTTCTAGAAAAATGAGGATTTTACTGCTTTTCAGAAGAAAGAAGGGGGTCGTATAGAGCAAGAGCAAAGTATTTTAAAAGGATAAAGACAAAAGAAAGAAAATGACAAGGAAATAAAGAGAATGGGAGGGAGATGATGATGATTATAATGATGGTTGTATTAGTCTGTTCTCATGCCACTAATAAAAACATACCTGAGACTGGGTAATTTATTAAAAAAAAAAAGAAGAAAAAAAACAGGTTTGATGGACTTACAGTTTCACATGGCCATGGAGGCCTCACAATCATGGCAGAAAGTGAAGGAGGAGCAAAGGCATGTCTTACATGGTGGCAGTCAAGAGAGTGTGTGCAGGGGAACTGCCCTTTTATAAAACCATCAGATCTCATGAGACTTATTCACTAACATGAGAACAGCACGGGAAAAACCCATCCCCATGATTCAATTACCTCCCACCAGGTCCCTCCCACAACATGTGAGGATTATGGGAACTACAATTCAAGATGAGATTTGAATGGGGACACAGACAAACCATATCAATGGTGATGCTGGTGAAGATAAAATTGGTAGCCAGTATCACGTCAGGCTCTATTCTAAACACTGTATGTGTGTTAACTCATTTAATCCTCACCGTGACTTTATGAAATATGTACATAATTCTCCCTCTTTCACAGAGAAGGAAACTGAGGACCAAGGGGGTTAAATAACTTGTCTCTTGTCACACATCTAGAATTTAAGAGCCAAATAGAGGAATTTGGGAAAGAAAGAGCAGGAGAGAATTATGGTAGGAACTTATATTGACTTCATTTCTGAAATGAAGTTATACTGTCTTCCCCGGTGTGAGTCAGTTAAAATATTTACCAAGCCTGGGCGCGGTGGCTCACACCTGTAATCCAAGCACTTTGGGAGGCTGAGGTGGGCGGATCACCTGAAGTCTGGAGTTCGAGACCAGCCTGGCCAACATAGTGAAACCCCATCTCTACTAAAAATACAAAAATTAGACAGGCATGGTGGCACACGCCTGTAATCCCAACTACTCAGGAGACTGAGGCAGGAGAATTGCTTGAACCCGGGAGGCAGAGGTTGCAGTGAGCGGAGATCGCACCATTGATTGCACTCCAGCCTGGGGACAAGAGCGAGATTTTGTCTCAAAAACAAACAAGCAAACAAACAACAACAACAACTAAAATTTGCCAAGTTCCTACTGTGTGCCAGGCACTGTTTTGGGCATTGAGGGGAGTGCAGCAAGTAGGCAGTGTCTCTGCCCTCACAGAGCTGAAATTCAGGAGGGGAGAGAGTCTCACAGACAACTGGCCAGCACTCCAGCAACTCCCCCATCAGGGAATTCCAGGTGCTTGGCCCTCCACCAGGCTGGAGGATCATGGCAGCTCTGGCTGGCTAGGTGTCTGGGTATGGGATTCCTGAGATTCTCAGAAGGCATAGTCAGGGACCCTCAGGCAGATACTTACTGCTTCTCTCTGTGCCCTGCCTATCACCCTTTTCCCTTAACCTAAACTTCTCTCTTTCCTGCAGGTCAGCCAGGATGGCAAAGCACTGCTAGATGTGCTACAGCGGCCCCTGAGCCCTGGGAACTCAGAATCCCTCACGGCCACAGCCAACTACTCCAAGGCAGTGCACCAAGTGCTGGACGTGGTGCACGAGGTGTTACATCACCAGCGACGGCTGGAGAGCATCTGGCAGCACCGCAAGGTGCGGCTCCACCAGCGGCTGCAGCTCTGTGTCTTCCAGCAGGACGTACAGCAGGTAACAGGCTCTGAGCCCTGGTGTCCATCATCCATTCTAGGAGGCAGAGCGAGCTCAAGTCCCTGATCTAGGTGATCAGGCTTAGGAGAGCACAGACTTATAGAGGGAAAAATGAAATTCAGCTCTCAAGTGCTCCACAGAACCCCCACCAAAACACAAAACAAAAACTGGACCTGTGAATTGCATGTTTCTTGCCTAAGTGACTTTATAGACTGGCCTTCTCACCATGTGATATTGGAAAGGGAGACTTAGTTTCAGGAACTGCAATTCGTCATCGTCATATGGCACATTTTTCTTTGGTTTTGCTTTGTTTTGTTTTTTGGAGAGAGTCTCGCTCTGCTGCCCAGACTGGAGTACAGTGGTGTAATCTTGGCTCATTGCAACCTCCACTTTCTGGGTTCAAGTGATTCTTGTGCCTCAGCCTCCCAAGTAGCTGGGATTAAGGGCATGTGCCACCACACCCAGCTAATTTTTGTATTTTTGGTGGAGATGGGGTTTCACCATGTTGGCCAGGCTGGTCTTGAACTCCTGACCTCAGGTGACCTGCCCGCCTCGGCCTCCCAAACTGTCAATATGGGTTAGGGTTAGGGCCAATGTGGCACATTTTTCGTTTGGTGAGCTTGACCCACACTCAGGCAGTGATTGCTAGACAGCTCAGGGGTGGGTGGTTATCTGAGCACTGTCAGGCTTGGACCCTACATATGGTCCATCTGGGATGCAGGTGGCCTGCCAGAGTGGAGGTGAAGTGGGGTACAGGGACCTTCAGAGGATTCCTTTACAAGGTTGGACCAGGAAAATCAGATTTAAAACCTGGGCTGTTGTTCAGTGTATGTTTCATGATTACAGGTTATTTCTGACTTTATATAGTTTTTTTTGTATTATGACATCAGTTGTGGCTTTTTCCTTTACCACTAATAGCAAAGAAATGGTTATGTTTCTGACCACAAAAGGACAGTCTTGCTACAAATGCCCTTTCAGATGAAATAACCCATTCTTTTCTCCTTGTACTTTCTCTGTTTCTGTCTTCCAGGGGACCCTGGGATCTTTGCTGGAGGATTGATATACTAGGGCGGGGGGAGCTGGTTGGGAGATGGGGACTGAGATCCAGTCTCACTGTCTGTCATCTCTCTCTTAGTTCACCATAGGAGAACTAAGGATGGGCTTAGTTGTCCTAGGATGGGCTCTGCAGAGCTTCAGAGGAGCTGCTGGGGTGGACGCACTTGTGTTCAACACCTGTTTGACTTTTCTGTGGCTACCGTGTAACTCCAGGATTATACATATAAAATAACAATTCACTCTCCTTTCATTCTTTTGTGGCATCGGCCAGGTATAATCCAAGGATAATCTAATTTATCTACTGTATTATATAATACAATGTAATCCATTGTATATTTCCAGTGTAGTGAAATACACATGGCAAATTGAGAGCCAACTGTACATGTCTTTGGGATATTGGTTCCCTTCACCGGTGTCATTAGAGGGGCCTCTGGTGCTGGGTGCCTGAAGTAGTCAGGCCGAGTGGAGGGAGAGTTGAGCATTCTTGTCACTGACTGTGACACCCTCTGACTAGGGGGATAGTCACTGTGCAATCAGTCCCAGGAGCAGATGGGCCTTCGAGCATGTCCTCACTTCTTGGGCTGCCATAACTCGCCTTGCAGAGTCCTCTTCTGACTGGAGCATCAGTTGAGTCATCAGAGGCAACACCTCAGTCCCAGGAGAAATGGGCAGTACTGATGTGCTGGCCACAGTTCTGAAGCCCTCATGGGGCCTGCTGGGAGTGGAGAAGCAAATGAATCAGTTGCCTACTCCTGCTATCTGGAGCTATCCTGATAAATATATCACTCCTGAGTGCAGGAGAGCACAGGAGGTAGTCTGTGATTGAGACAGAGTGAGGTACCAGCCTCTGAAGGCACAAAGGAGAGGCGTTGCTATTTCAGTGAACTCTCCCTGACTCTCAGAGATGATCTGGGCCATGAATTGTACAATATCCGTGGTGTCCTCTTTACCCTCATGCTGATTTTACAGCTGTTGTCCTGGAGAGCTGCAGAGGGGCTGCTAGGAGGGTGGGTGAAAGGCCTCCCCAAGAGGAGGGTGGCATTCCAGACTCCAACTATCAGGGAACTGCTGTGATCTGACTTTTCTGTGGCCACCATGACATCTAAACTAAAGCTAAGAAAAAGTATAAAACCACACCTGTGGTTGTTCTGCATCATGCTTTTAAAAATGAGAGCCTTTCTGAAATTAAGACCCTGTCAGTTCATCACTTTCTTGTTTGTAAATCCATGAGCATGAAATCTTTTTCCATTTATTTGTGTCCTCTTACTTCCTTCAGCAGTGGTTTGTAGTTCTCCTTGAAGAGGTCCTTCACATCCCTTGTAGTTATATACCTAGGTATTTTATTCTCTTTGTAGCAATTGTGAGTGGGAGTTCACTCATGATTTGGCTCTCTATTATTGGTTTATAGGAATGCTTGTGATTTTTGCACATTCCAGAATTATGCAAAAAATCAATTGCATTGATTTTGTATCTTGAGACTTTGCTGAAGTTGCTTATCAGCTTAAGATTTTGGACCAACATCTAGAGAAGTAAAGAAAGCAAGACATTACAAGTTTTGATGGAGGCTTAAAATGTTGAATTTTTAGAAAATGCTCTGAATCCCAGAAACCTCAAAGAAATCCAGAGACCTGGTGAATAGCAATGTCAGGAATATAAGACAAGGTGAGGACAAGGTGGCTCTTATCATTAGAAGTTAATATAAGAAATTGAGAGTAGAAAATATGTACGTGACTAGGTTGTATTTCTGTCAGTCTTTCTACCTTATGTGTAATCTTTTAAAGTTATTTGAATATTATCCTAAGCAAACTAACACAGGAATAGAGAACCAAACACCACATGTTATCACTTATAAGCAGAAGCTGAACACTGAACACACATGGACACAAAGACGGGAACAGTAGGCACTAGGGACTGCTTGAGTGGGGAAGGTGAGAAGGAGGTGTGGGTTCAAGGCTGCCTATCAAGTACTATGCTCAGTATCTTGGTGATGGGATCACTCATACACTAAGCCTCAGTGACATGCAATTTACCTATGTAACAAACCTGCACATGTACCCCCAAACCTAAAATAAAAGTAAATAAAAAGCAACGAAAAATAAAAAAATAAAAAAGATTTTTGGGTCAAGACGATAGGGTTTTCTAAATATACAATCATGTCATCTGCAAACAAAGACAATTTGACTTCCTCTCTTCCTATTTGAATACCCTTTATTTCTTTCTCTTGCCTGATTGCCCTGGCCAGAACTTCCAATACTGTGTTGAATAGGAGTGGTGAGAGAGGGTATCTTTGTCTTGTGCTGATTTTCAAAAGGAATGCATCTAGCTTTTGCCCATTCAGTATGATATTGGCTGTGGGTTTGTCATAAATAGCTTTCATTATTTTGAGATACATTCCATCAGTACCTAGTTTATTGAGAGTTTTTAGCATGAAGGGGTGTTGAATTTTATCAGCCTTTTCTGCCTCTATTGAGATAATCATGTGGTTTTTGTCATTGATTCTGTTTATGTGATAGATTATGTTTATTGATTTGCATATGTTGAACCAGCCTTGCATCCCAGAAATGAAGCTGACTTGATCGTGGTGGATAAGCTTTTTAATGTGTTACTGGATTTGTTTGGCCAGTATTTTATTGAGGATTTTTGCATTGATGTTCATCAGGGATATTGGCCTGAAATTTTCTTTTTTTGTTGTGTCTCTGACAGGTTTTGGTATCAGGATGATGCTGACCTCATAAAATGAGTTAGGGAGGAGTCCCTCTTTTTCTATTGTTTGGAATAGTTTCAGAAGGAATGATACCAGCTCCTCTTTGTATCTCTGGTAGAATTTGACTGTGAATCCATCTGCTCCTGGACTTTTTTTGGTTGGTAGGCTATTAATTACTGCCTCAATTTGAGAACTTGTTATTGGTCTATTTGGGGATTCAACTTCTTCCTGATTTAGTCTTGGGATGGTGTCTGTGTCCAGGAATTTATCCATTTCTTCTGGATTTTCTGGTTTATTTGCATAGAGGTGTTTATAGTATTCTCTGATGGTAGTTTGTATTTCTGTGGGATCAGCGGTGATATCTCCTTTATCATTTTTTATGTGTCTATTTGATTCTTCTTTTTCTTTATTAGGCTAGTGATCTATCTATTTTGTTAATCTTTTCAAAAACCAGCTGCTGGATTCATTGATTTTTTGAAGGGTTTTTTGTGTCTCGATCTCCTTCAGTTCTTCTCTGATCTTAATTATTTCTTGTCTTCTGCTAGCTTTTGAATTTATTTGCTCTTGCTTCTCTGGTTCTTTTAATTGTGATGTTACAGTATCAATTTTAGATCTTTCCCGCTTCCTCCTGTGGGCATGTAGTGTTATAAATTTCCCTCGGAGCACTACTTTAGCTGTGTCCCAGAGATTCTGGTATGTTGTGTCTTTGTTCTCGTTGGTTTCAAAGAACTTCTTTATTTCTGCCTTAATTTCATTATTTATCCAGTAGTCATTCAGGAGCAGGTTGCTCAGTTCCCATGTAGATGTGTGGTTTTGAGTGAGCTTCTTAATCCTGAGTTCTAATTTGATTGCACTGTGGTCTAAGAGACTGTTTGTTATTACTTCCGTTCTTTTGCATTTGCTGAGGAGTGTTTTACTTCCAATTTTGTGGTTAATTTTAGAATAAGTGCGATGTGGTGCTGAGAAGAATATGTATTCTGTTGATTTGGGGTGGAGAGATCTGTAGATGTCTATTAGGTCCACTTGGTCCAGAGCTGAATTCAAGTCCTGAACATCCTTGTTAATTTTCTGTCATGTTGATATGACTTATATTGACAGTGGGGTGTTAAAGTCTTCCACTATTATTGTGTGGGAGTCTAACTCTCTTTGTAGGTCTCTGCGAACTTGCTTTATGAATCTGGGTGCTCCTGTATTGGGTGCAAGGAAACCCAATGCACTTTCTGTTTTTTATTCTCCCCTA